AAAAAAAAACTGGGGGGGTTAAAGGTGGGGGGGGGGAAAAGTCCCCGGGCTTTTCTTTTTGTGAAAAAAAAAATTTAACAAAAAACTTTTTCCCAAAAAGTTTTTTTGGGTTTTTTTTTTTTTGGTTTTTTTGGTTGTATTTAAAACCTTTCCCCCCTTTTTTTTTTTTTTTGGGGGCTAGGTTTTTTTTTTTTTTCCTTTTTTTTTTTTTAAAAAAAAAAAAAAAAAAAAAAAAAAGGAAAAAAGGGGGAGGGGAGGGGGGGGGAAAGCGAGGAAAGGGGAAAAAAGAGGGAAAGAAAAAGGAGGGAAAAAAAGGGGGAAAAACAGGGAAACAGGAAGGGAGGGGAGGGAGAGGAAAAAAAAAAAAGAAAAAAAGGGGAGAGAAAGGGGGGGAAAAGGAAAAGAAGGGAAAAAGAGGGGAGGAGAGAGAAAGGAAGGAGAAAGGGGAAGAAGAGCAGAGGAAAAGAGAGAGACCCGAGGAGAGAAAGGGAGGGGGGGGAAAAGGGGAAGGGAAAAAAAAAGGGAGAAAGGGCGAGAAGAGCAGAAAAGAAAGAGCAGGATAGAGAGAGAGCAAAGGGAGATGAAGAGGAGAGCAGAAGGGGGGAGGGCGGAAAAGGGGGAGGAAAAAACGGGAGAGAGGGAGGGGGGGAGAAGGAGCGGGGAAAGAGAGGGGAGGAAGCGGAAGGGGGGGGAGAGGGGGGGGAGAGGGGGGGGGGAGACGCCCCCTCGCTGGCACCCCCCTCCCTCCCCGGGGGATTTCCCCTCCCCCATCCCTCCCCCGCCCCCCCCCGCCCCTCCCTCCCCCCCAAACCCGAGACCCCCCCCCCTCCCGAACCCCAGGAGACACTCTTATCCCTTCTCCCTCTCCCCTATCCCCCGCCCCCACCACACCCCCAAATTTCATGCCTCTGCTTCTCGATCCCCCCTATTAGCCCTCCCTTTCCCTCTCCCTTACTCTTTAACCCATAACATAATGTTCATTAGAAGTGAAATGTCGTGCTGACAATACTGAGATACCTGCTGAACATTACTCAAACACACACACACACACACACACACACACACACACACACACACACACACACACATGTTTGATTAACTATCCTTGTGGGGACCAAACAATTGATTATCATTCAAAATACTAACCCTAACCCTTAACCTAACCTTAACCTTAACCCTATCCCCAAACCCTAACTCCTAACCCTAAACCTAGCCCCTAACCCTAATTGTAACCCTAACCTTAAATGTACAATGCCTTCAGAAAGTATTCACACCCCTTGACTTTTTCCACATTTTGTTGTGTTACAGCCTAAATGTAAAATGGATTGATTTGAGATTTTTTTGGTCACTAGCCTACAAACAATATCCCATAATGTCAAAGTGGAATTATGTTTTGTGACATTTTTACAAATTAATACAAAATGAAAATCTGAAATGTCTTGATTCAATAAGTATTCAAACCCTTTGTTATGACAAGCCTAAATAAGTTCAGGAGTAAAACCTTGTTAAACAAGTCACATAATAAGTTGCATGGACTCACTTTGTGTGCAATAATTGTGTTTGATTTTTGAATGACTACCTCATCTCTGTACCCCACAATTATCTGTAAGGTCCCTCAGTCGAGCAATGAATTCCAAACACAGATTCAACACTAAGACCAGGGAGGTTTTCCAATGCCTCGCAAAGAAGGGCACCTATTGGTAGATGGGTAAAACAAAACAAAAACAGACTTTGAATCTCCCTTTGATCACGGTGAAGTTATTCATTACACATTGGATGGTGTATGAATACACCCAGTCACTGCAAAGATACAGGCATTCTTCCTAACTCAGTTTCCGGAGAGGAAGGAAACTGCTCAGAGATTTCACCATGAGGCCAATAGTGACATTTAAACAGTTACAGAGTTTAATGGCTGTGATGGGAGAAAATTGAGGATGGATCAACAACACCGTAGTTACTCCACAATAATAACCTAATTGACATACTGAAAAGAAGGAAGCCTGTACAGAATACAAATATTCCAAAAATGCATTATGTTTACAACAAGGCACTAGAGTAAACCTGCAAAAAAATGTGGCATAGCAATTCATTTTTTGTCCTAAATACAAAGTGTTTTGTTTGGGGCAAATCCAATACAACACATTACTGAGTACCAAATCAAATCAAATCAAATTTTATTGGTCACATGCGCCGAATACAACAGGTGCAGACATTACAGTGAAATGCTTACTTACAGCCCTTAACCAACAGTGCATTTATTTTAAACAAAAAAGTAAGAATAAAACAACAACAAAAAAGTGTTGAGAAAAAAAGAGCAGAAGTAAAAAATAAAGTGACAGTAGGGAGGCTATATATACAATAGAATAAAGTGACAGTAGGGAGGCTATATATACAGGGGGGTACCGTTGCATAGTCAATGTGCGGGGGCACCGGCTAGTTACCACTCTCCATATGTTCAAGCACAGTGGTGGCTGCATCATGTTATGAGTATAATTGTAATTGTTAAAGCTGCAATACGTAACCTTTTGAGTGAACTGACCAAATTCACCTAGAAATGTGTATTATACTGTAGATCTGTCATTCTCGTTGAAACCAAGTCTAAGAAGCGGTAGATCTGTTCTATGTGCGCTATTTCTATGCTTCCTGTTCTTAAGTTTTGGTTTTTCATCTTTTCTTTTAGGTTTTGTACACCAGCTTCAAACAGCTGGAAAGAAAAAAATTTTGGTTACGGAAAATATATTTTTACAGTGGTTTAGATGGTACAATGATTCTCGATGGTATACTTGCTTGTTTTGTCACATAAACAGAAAATAGGAAATCTATTAGAATTTTAGCTTCTAGGAAATGGTGGAGCCATTTCTGTATAGTGCATTTTTAAGGACTGGGGAGTTTTTCAGGATAAAAAAATAAATGGAGATTAATTCATCTTTCAGCAGGACAATAACCTAAAATACACGTCCAAATCTACACTGGAGTTGATTACCAAGAAGACAGTGAATGTTCCTGAGTGGCCGAGTTACAGTTTTGACTTAAATCTGCTTGAAAATATATGGTCAAGACCTGAAAATGGTTACCTAGCAATCAACAACAAATTTGACAGAGCTTGAAGAATTTTGAAAAGAATAACGGGCAAATGTTGCACAATTCAGGTGTGAAAAGCTCTTGGAGACTTATCCAGAAAGACTCACAGCTGTAATTACAGCCAAAGGTGATTCTAACATGTTTTGCCTCAGGGGGTTGAATATTTAATAACCAAATGTCTTCCACTTTGACATTGCAGAGTATTTTGTGTAGATCGTTGACAAAAAAATGACAATTAAATACATTTCAATCCCACAATACTTTCAGAAGGCATTGTAACCCTAACCCTAAACTTAACCCCTAAGCCTAAAATAGCCTTTTTCCTTGTGGGGACTGGCGAAATGTCCCCACTTGTGGGGACTTCTGGTCCCCACAAGGATAGTTAAACCCCCCCCCCAAAAAAAATACACACACACTCACACACATGGTTTTGTGCGTAATTTATGTGTTTTGAAAAATGTATGCACTCACTAACTGTAAGTCGCTCTGGATAAGAGCGTCTACTAAATGACTAAAATGTAAAAATGTAAAATGTTTTTGTGGAAGCATCAGACGGAGGGGATGTTATCCTGCCTGAGAGCAGGAGACCTGTGGGGGAGGGATCAGTGTGATGACATCACACCCCTCTACACCCCCACCCTGCCCCTATCCCACCACCCAATACCCCCAGGCCTCACCTCTTGGAGCCCAACACAGGGTGTGGTGCTTCGGCTGTCAGGGCCTC